AATTGTGTATGACTTATTTTTTATAGAAAACTTGGAGTATGACACATTTTTCTATAGAAAAATTTGTGTATAATATTGTATAAAAACTTGGAGTATACAATTTTTTCTACTAAAAACTTTGTGTATAACTAATTTTTAAATAGAAAAGTTGGTGTATAACACATTTTTGTGTAGTAAAACTTTTTGATTAATAAATTTTTCGATAGAAAACTTTGGGTATAACACATTTTCTATATAGCAAACTCATTTTTCAATAGAAAAGTTGGTCTATAATATATTTTCTACAGAAAAATTGGTGTATAACACATTTTTCTATAGAAAAGTGTGTGTATAACACATTTTATATAGAAAACATTGTGTTTAACTAGTTTTTCTGTAGAAAACTTTGTATATAACACATTTTTCTATAGAAAACTTGGTTTATAACTCATTTTTCTATAGAAAATTTAGCGTATAACAAAGTTTTCTATACAATAATACATTTTCTATAGAAAAATTTAAAACTTCTATAGAGAATTTGTGTATAACACTTTTTTCTATAAAAACTTTGTGTGTAACATATTTTTCTATAGAAAAATTTGACTATAACAGTTTTGTGTAAAATACTGTAAAAAAACTTGGAGTATAAAATTTGTTCTATGTATAACACATTTTTCTGTAGAAAACTTTATATATAACACATTTTATATAGAAAAATTTGTATATAACTCATTTCTCTATAGAAAACTTGTTCTATAACACTTTTTCTATAGAAATTTAGCGTATAACAAAGTTTTCTATACAATAATAAATTTTCTATAGAAAAATTTGTCTATAACAGTATTTTGCCCTAGAGACAAATTTTCGTATAACTCGTTTTTCTATAGAAAAATTGGTGAATAGCACATTTGTTTATAGAAAACTTTGCGTATAACATATTTTTTTATAAAAATCTTAGCGTATAACACATTTTTCTATAAAACAATTCTGTATAACACATTTTTCTATAAAAAAGTAGAAAAACTATATTTTTGTAAAATTTAAAAATTTTCAAACAATTTATTTTTTACAACTGTTTGTTTTTTTATATTTTATTCAACTTCTTTTCTGTTTAAATATAATTTAGTTATTTTTCATTTATATTACAAATAATAATAATAAAAAATTGATTTTATTTCGCTTTAAATTTACAATTATTTAGCTTATATTTTCATCTGTCATTAAATTTTATTTGTAATGCTTTTGAGAGAAGAATTGTTTGGTTTTCTTTAAATTTATTTAATGTAAATTAAAATTTTGACGTTTTGAAATGTTGTTGAAATTGTTTCTTATTTTGTTTGTGAGTTTGTTTTAAACTAGATTTGTTGTTTGTCAAATCCTGTATCCATACACCTTTAAATACAGGATATTTGTTTTCTTTTTCCTTGTAGTAGTTTTGAAATTTTGAAAGAGGAGTTGTTTTGTTGTTGCTTTTACATTTGTTACGATTTTACGATTTTTTTGGTTACATTTTTTTTTTTTTTGTTTTTTTTGTTTTTAAAGAAAATTAAATAGTTAGGAAGAAAGTTTAAGGGAAAAGTAATAAAAAGAAAAAAAAAACAAAAGAAATGAAAAGTAAAAGCAATAAAAAGAAATGAAAAGAAAAAAGTAGTAAATAGAAAGAAAGAAAAAAAAAAATAATACAAAAAATCTCTCAAATGAAATGATGAAGCATTTTTCATTATTCGCCTGCTATTGTTTTCAACATGGTTTGGATACGCTGAAAAATGCAATAAAAATATACCAGTAAAAGTCTTATTTGGCAACACTGTTTTACGTTATACGAAAATGTTTGACAGTGATGCCATGTGCAGTAAGTTGTAGGATCTACAACCCTAGTAATACCGAAATTCATTGCATTAACGACCCTATCCTGAGCGGTTACTACATATTTCGATTTCCATTTAATACAGAAATTTAAAAGGCTTTATTCTCGAATCAAGTGATTCTAGGCGAATTAGGGTATACGTAATCGAATAATCATTCGTATAAAAACACATTTCGAATTTAAATTAAAATCTCTTAGATCTTTTCTTTTTTTCATTAATTCAGACTCTTTTTATGTTAAATACACCGTGTTTCGAAAGTGTTTAGTTTCTAAACGAAATACGTTTTTTTTCAAATGGGTTTCTTTTGAATCGCAATGTTTTTAGGATTTATTGCTTAATTTCATTCAAACGAGTTTTCGAATCGAATAGATCTTTAGTTTTAGCTAATTTTGAGAGGTTTTAAGGATTTTAAGCAAAATTTTTATTCTTTGTTATTCTTCATTATTAGTAATTCTATTCTTTTAAAACTGTTTACCTTCGAAAAAAAGTTTTCTTTTAAATCAACTTATGTATATTTTAAGCAGAAGTATTTCTTTAAAATATTGTTAGTATAGTTTTCTAACATACCTTACCATTAGGAGATAATTTATTTATATATACGGTTTATAGTCATCAGCAGCTTCGCATGGTTATACGATTACCGTTATTTTCCTTTTTGAGATATTTAAGACAAAATACTAATTTTGTTGTAACTATTCGAAAACCATATTTTTGATAAAGCTCGAAAAGACTAGATAGCCATTTTAGCCATTGTAATACCCTTAACATTATAAGGAATCCTGTTATTATTATTGTCACCGAGAGAAACGTGTCACGCTCACGTTTCTCTCTACTTCTAAACAACTTCTGCAATACTTGGGCTTTAGTTGACCATATGGACTTACAATGCCTAGTGATTATTCCTATAAGAACTGAAATTTCTATGAAGGGGCAGGATTTTCAGGGTCCTTTTCGTGAATACAAGGAAGATAAGTTTGGATATTCTCCATGACTATTTTTTGAATATCCTTTTGAGAAACTGCATTCTGAACCTGGAAACCATTTCAATTAAGTTGTGGCAGGGATTAAACGAGAATAGTATGAATGGAATGTCTCTTGCAACCGAATCGTAGAAAATTTCATAGCTAGATTTTCTGACGGCAAATAAACGGAGTTGTTTCCGGCAATCCGGCCTAGTAGAATATGGGTTATTGATCACAGATAGATGATCTAGAGCAAGCGGTATGTTAGAGCAAACCTCTGGGGGAAGCTCTTGTTATACGGATAGCTCTAAAAGGGCACAGAAAGTTTAAATGTCCGTGCTTTTATATAATATATAAAATAGGTTGCAATATGGCGCCCACAGATAAATGTTATCATTTCGCCTAGAGGCCGGTACAGCCAGAAGGTATAAACCGGCCTCTAGGCGATAATTCGCAATGAAAATGCGAATAGAAGAGAACTTGATAAAGTTAACATGACGATTACCAAACCATTTGGACAAATAAGTCTCATACGTATATGGCTACTAAGATCCTACAGGTTAACCCAAACGAGAAGATTACGGGCACAACTATACAAAATTGGATTCATATGAATGTAGAACATGCGGAGAGTACACTTTGTGTCATTACCAGGCTTTCCAAATAACTTGGAAACGATGTTATTCCACATATTAGATACCTCAAGAACACTAATTTTAACATTTAAATGAACTACGTTCTGGCAACTTAGTTTCTGAACATTGAAAGATCATTTCATTCATAGATCTCTATATAAGGCACAAAATAGACCTATTAACAGCCTAAAACCTTCTTGCAACCTAACCTAATAGATGCTATGTTTCTTTATTGATCGTGTAATTCATTTTGGAAGAAACATTTTTTCGAAACGATTTGCTAAATAACCCCTTGTCTTTACATACAATACAATAATGTATTTCTAGAATTTACTTAAGGTTCTGAGAGACCTAACTCCATTGTTTCTCTCATTCGAAGATTGTATAGGAGAAGTCACAGTCACACACAATCGTAAAGCATTCAAATTGAATTTTCATACGATTCCGTTTTTTGTTGGAATACCAATTTCCGATCGTAGCTTAACTGAATGCGGAAACGTAACCGAAATGCAGAATAGGGGTGAATGTCTGTGGTAAAGAACAACGCCCGCGTTATCGTTGATTAGGTCGTTAACTGTTGTCTAGCATTCTTCGTGTAACTGTCCTGGTTTTTACGTTGTGTGCATTAAGAGCATGCTTTCGTTTTAATTCAAAGTGAGGGGTTTCATTAAAAAACTAAACTCAGATATTTACTGAATTGTTTATAAAATTCTGGCACCTTAACATTTCAGAATTGAGAAAACTATTATCCGATGATCGACCAAAATACAACTCTGAGATATTTAACTTTTTTGGACTAATATGACAAAAATACTAGAAAATGATTTCCAATCTTTTCAAATCCCTTATATCTAACAAATTGCCAGTTTTTCCCAAAATGTACTAAATGTTTTCATTTTAAAAACTTAAATTTTCACAGCTCTTGTGTGAAATAAGAAGAAGAAAAAAATGTGTTTTCTATTTTTTTAAATAATTTTCTTTTTATATATATTTTTCTTTCTTTTTTTTTTTTTTTTGTTGGTTTTGTATTACAAATTAATATTTTCGCCTATTTTCTTTGTAGAGTGTTTTTGTTTTTATTTTAAATGTTTTATTTAAGGCTTTTTCATGTTTTTCTTTTTTAAATTAATGTTTTAGTTTATAAAGTAAATTGTAGATTGTGATTTTTCTTTTCTTTTTTTTTTATTACTTCATACTTTTTGCTTGAAAACTTGTTGTTTTGATCATCATCATCATTAATTAATTAATTAATCATTATCAATCATTTTTGTATTAATTTATAATAGAATTATAATAATTTATAATAACGCAAAATAATAAATTGGTAAATTAAAAAAAAATAATAATAATAAAATAAAAATAAAAAAAAAATATTTTTTTAAATGTTTCTTTTTTAATAATAAATCATAATAATAATGCTAATTAATAAATGTATAATATACGATTTTTTATGGATTTTTTTAAATGTTTTTTTTTTTTTTAATTTTATTATTTTTTTTTTTGCATTTTTTTTGTTGTTTGTTTAGAGTTTTTTTTTTTGTTTGTTTTTCTTTTAAATGTAAATTACAACGGAAGTGTCGGTGTATTAGTAGTTGGTGTAGGCGTCAACATTGACGCGGATGGAGGATAACGCAACGTATGCTGTGACGTTGCTTGTTGTATATAATCCTGGCTAGGATTATTTAAAACGCTATCCCTTGAATTTGAATGTGAAGTGGCGCGTAGCAATGTAACTGCTTCGCGTTCTGGACTACATTGGACACCATCTAGTCATTTTTGACGTGATGATTTCTTCTTCTTTCGTTTAAAGAAACAACAACATCTGAAAGGAGAGATAGAGAGAAACGGCGGGGGGTAGATTTAGTAGTATTCAAATATTTATTTCGAAATTTAGAAAATAACGTGAAATTTTTAAATTTTGGTTCTTAGATGAGTTAATGGAATAGTCTACAGACTAGACGATGGACTAGTCAAAAGATTAGTTTATGGACTAGCATGTTGACTAGTCTATTGATCAGTCTATTGTCTAGTTTATGGACTATCTTGTTTACAAGCCAATGAACTAGTCCATAAACTAGTAGACGGTCTAGTCCATAGTCAATCGACTAGTTAATAGACTATTCAATAGACTGATCAATAGACTAATCCATAGACATGTCCAAAGCCTATTCGATAGATTGACAATTGACTAGTCAATAGACCAGTCCATAGTTTAGTCAATAGCCAAGTCTATATACTAGACAATACTCTAGTTCATGGTCTAGTCCATAGTGTAGTCAATGGAAAAGTCCATAGACTAGACAATAGACTAGTCTGCAGACTAGCCCATAAAGTAGACAATAGACTTATCCATAGGCTACACAGTAGACTGATCAATAGATTAGTCACTAGACTAGTCCATAGAATAGACAATGGAGTAGACAATAGACTGGACAATGACTATTCCATAGACTAGTCAATATCCATGTCCATAATCTAGTCCATATACTAGTTCATGGTATAGTCCATAGTGTAGTCAATAGAATAGTTCATAGGATAGTCAATGGACTAGACAATAGACTAGTCCATAAAGTAGACAATAGACTGGTCAATAGGATACACAGTAGACTTATCAATAGATTAGTCACCAGACTAGTCCATAGACTGGTCAATAGACAATAGACTAGACAATTGACTGGACAATTGACTAGTCCAGAGACTAGTCAATAGACCAGTCCATAGTTTAGTCAATAGAATAGTCAATAGGCAAGTCCATAATCTAGTCCATATACTAGTCAATAGTCTAGCTCATGCTCTAGTCCATAGTGTAGTCAATAGAAAAGTCCATAGGATAGTCAATGGAATAGTCCATAGACTAGACAATAGACTAGTCTACAGACTAGTCTATAAAGTAGACAATAGACTGGTCCATAGGCTACACAGTAGACTGGTCAATAGATTAGTTACCAGACTAGTCCATAGAATGGTCAATAGAATAGACAATACACTGGACAATAGACTGGATAATTGACTAATTTATAGACTAGTCAATAGACCAGTCCATAGCTTAGTCAATAGCCAAGTCCATAATCTAGTCCATATACTAGTCAATAGTCTAGTTCATGGTCTAGTCCATAGTGTAGTCAAAGGAATAGTCCATAGTATAGTCAATGGAATAGTCCATAGACTAGACAACAGACTATTATACAGACTAGTCCATAAAGTAGACAATAGACTGGTCCATTGGCTACACAGTAGACTGATCAATAGATTAGTCCATAGACTGGTCAATAGAATAGACAATAGACTAGATAATAGACTGGACAATTGACTAGTTTATAGACTAGTCAATAGATCAGTCCATAGCTTAGTCAATAGCCAAGTCCATAATCTAGTCCATATACTAGTCAATAGTCTAGTTCATGGTCTAGTCCATAGTGTAGTCAATAGAATAGTCCGTAGGATAGTCAATGGAATAGTCCATAGACTAGACAACAGACTATTATACAGACTAGTCCATAAAGTAGACAATAGACTGGTCCATTGGCTACACAGTAGACTGATCAATAGATTAGTCCATAGACTGGTCAATAGAATAGACAATAGACTAGACAATAGACTGGACAATTGACTAGTTTATAGACTAGTCAATAGCCAAGTCCATAATCTAGTCCATATACTAGTTAATAGTCCATATACTAGTTAATAGTCATGATCTAGTTCATAGTATAGTCAATAGAAATGAAATTTTATAAATAAACCTAAAGAAATAATCAAAACATACTTTGTTTCATCGACCAACTCGACTTCAGGCTGTTGTGTTATGGGAGTATTTGAATGACCAGCAGTGGGATCGTCCGCATTTAATTCACCATTTGTTGAACTCACAACCTAAAATTGCAAGAAAAAGACAAAAAAACATAAAAAATAAATTACATTTAGTTAGTTTAATTTATAAATGAAAATAAAAATACCATCGATATAAACAAAATGAAACATACATAAATGATTTGACATTTATTTGAGAGAGAGAGAGATATAGATAGAGAATAAAATGTTTGAAAACCCAATTTCTGCTGATTACAATTTTATACTAAATATTACACAACGATAAATTCTAAAATTAATAAATGGGTGTACAATATTATAAACTCACTGGTAACTACATAAAAATGTAAACAAATCTAACAAATATGAGTTTTTTTTTTATAAAAATAAACAAAAATCAAACGCACACAAATTAAATGCTGATTTAAGTTGTTGTTTAGAATTGTTTAATAAATAAAAAACTGCAATTAAAAATTTTGAGGGCTCTTTTACGGGAGGGTATTTCAGTTAAAATTGCTACTGCTTGAAAAGAAAAACCTACTAAATCAATTAAATCAGCATTTTCTTTAATCAAATCTTTCACAAACCACACAAAGTGAAAAAAACAAAACATACACTTAATAAAAAAAATATATTTTATACCTTTTTTCTATATATTATTTAAATAAAAAACACCTTCTCTAAACTTAAACAAAATTTTAAATTAAAAAAATTAAATTTAGTTTTTTAAAGAAAAACAATTCGTTTAATCTCTTTCGTTCTCTAACTAATCTTTGGAGTTTTGTGGCACCAAAGGTGGTCGTTCTGTTGCCAGTTGTTCAGCAGCAGTAGCAGCCTTAACTGATATTTCTTCATCCTTTTCGTTTTCATAATAAGCATCAAAAGGACTATCATCATCCGAGCCTGAATCTTCGGGTTGTTTCTAAATCAATTAAATTTTGTTTTGTTGTTTATTTTTAGTAAAATTTAACTACTAAAAAATTCTTTAAAATTTCATTTTTCTTGGTAGCTGTTTTAATTTTCTTGCAATTTTTTTTCTGTACTTTTTGAGTTTTTTTAGTAAAAAAAATTGTGTATTTTTTTTTAAATATATTTAGCATTTACCTTAATACACATGCACATTTATTCATAACAACTAAATTAATTAAAATAAACATTCCTTTTTTTAAATAATTATATAAATTATTCGCCAATGCCTTCGTTTATTCATGCATTTTTCCTTTTTCGTTTAACTATATATATATTTATATTTCCAACAAAGTGCTTAATTATGTTAAATGATGATTGGTAATAAGGGATTATGAAATGTTTTAATTTGGGACAGGTATCAAAATGAAATGGTTCCGTTTTTATGAAGTTTTAGAAATCTGAAAAGCCTTATATCTAAATATTTCCCATTAACCAATAAGTCTATCAATTCATATTAGATTCTAAAGAGAGAGTACTAGACTATGGACTAGTCTTCACATTATGCAATGGACTAGCCTGTAGACTGAACTAGTCTAATGACCAGAATATGGACTATTCTGTTGACTGGTCTAATGACTTAACTATGGACAAGTCTATAGACTGGACCAGTCTTTTGGCCAGACTATGAACTAGTCTATAGATTATGGACTAGGCTGTTGACTAGACTAAAGACAAGAGTATTGGCTAGACTATGGACTAATCTATTGACTAGACTATGAACTAATAATACATTAGACTATGGAATAGCCTCTTTACTACACTATGGACTAGTCTGTTGTCTAGGTTATGGTCTATAGTCTGGTCTAGTGTCTAGGTTATGGTCTATAGTCTGGTCTATGGGCCATTCTACTAGTCTGTAGACTAGACTATGGACTAGTTTATAGACTAGACTATGGACTAGTTTATAGACTAGACTATGGACTAGACTATAGACTAGACTATGGACTAGTCTAGACTAGACTATGGAGCTATAGACTAGACTATGGACTAGTCTATAGACTAGACTATGGACTAGTCTATAGACTAGACTATGGACTAGTCTATAGACTAGACTATGGACTAGTCTATAGACTAGACTATGGACTAGTCTATAGACTAGACTATGGACTAGTCTATAGACTAGACTATGGACTAGTCTATAGACTAGACTATGGACTAGTCTATAGACTAGACTATGGACTAGTCTATAGACTAGACTATGGACTAGTCTATAGACTAGACTATGGACTAGTCTATAGACTAGACTATGGACTAGTCTATAGACTATGGACTAGTCTATAGACTATGGACTAGTCTATAGACTATGGACTAGTCTATAGACTATGGACTAGTCTATAGACTATGGACTAGTCTATAGACTATGGACTAGTCTATAGACTATGGACTAGTCTATAGACTATGGACTAGTCTATAGACTAGACTATGGACTAGTCTATAGACTAGACTATGGACTAGTCTATAGACTAGACTATGGACTAGTCTATAGACTAGACTATGTACTAGTCTATAGACTAGACTATGGACTAGTCTATAGACTAGACTATGGACTAGTCTATAGACTAGACTATGGACTAGTCTATAGACTAGACTATGGACTAGTCTATAGACTAGACTATGGACTAGTCTATAGACTAGACTATGGACTAGTCTATAGACTAGACTATGGACTAGTCTATAGACTAGACTATGGACTAGTCTATAGACTAGACTATGGACTAGTCTATAGACTAGACTATGGACTAGTCTATAGACTAGACTATGGACTAGTCTATAGACTAGACTATGGACTAGTCTATAGACTAGACTATGGACTAGTCTATAGACTAGACTATGGACTAGTCTATAGACTAGACTATGGACTAGTCTATAGACTAGACTATGGACTAGTCTATAGACTAGACTATGGACTAGTCTATAGACTAGACTATGGACTAGTCTATAGACTAGACTATGGACTAGTCTATAGACTAGACTATGGACTAGTCTATAGACTAGACTATGGACTAGTCTATAGACTAGACTATGGACTAGTCTATAGACTAGACTATGGACTAGTCTATAGACTAGACTATGGACTAGTCTATAGACTAGACTATGGACTAGTCTATAGACTAGACTATGGACTAGTCTATAGACTAGACTATGGACTAGTCTATAGACTTCACTAGTCTGGACTATGGATCAGTGTTTTGACCAGACTATTAACTAGATACTAGTCTATTTACTAAACCATAGTCTAGTCTATTTACTATACTATAGACTAATATATTGCCTACACAATGAACTAGTCTATTGACTACTCTATGGAGTAGTCTGTTGACTTGTCTATTGATTAATCTTTATATTTTAACGCTATAAGTGAAAGACAGATATGAACACATTATAAACTAATGTACACAGGGATGGAAAGTTCAGTACTATTGTACTGACGGTTGCATGCATTTGTGTTTAAATAAAAGTTAACAATTGTACAGACATTTTTGTCTATATTTTTTCAAGCTGAACGAATCAGAGAATAGTTTTTAGTTGTTCTATCTTGTCGTCATAAGCTCTATATTATTTGTCATATCCTTCAATATACAGATGTCTAGATCATATTATAAGGACCTATAATGTAACAGTTTAATTACTTGCAATAATGAGAAGAAATTTTTAAGATTCATTCATAAACAACAACACCCCAATCTTTAAACATTTAATATTTTCCTTATTTTTTGAAAAATTCTTCAAGATTTAAAATTTATTCGTTGCATTTTTAACAATATCTCTTAAATGTTCTAAAACACTTAAACAAATTTAATGCAAATTTTATTTTAAATAGAAGAGATTTAAAAAAATTTACATTAAAATACCTTTAAATATAATTCATATAACATTTACTAATAATATTTACATAACTTTATTTAACTAGAAATAAATTTATGCAAATGTACTATATTAAACGTTTACAATTGAATAATGTTTAACACAAAAATTTTAATGAATCCTTGAAATAAATATGCAAATATATGTATGTGTTTGTGCAACAAGAAAAAACAAACATACATATTTTACTTAACAACTGTGAATACATTTCATTAAAATACTTTTACCCAAAAAAAGAAAACTAAAAAAAATCTTTAGTTAAAAGAAAACACAAAAATTATCTAAAGTTACGAAAAATGAAAAGATATTAAAAGGAGGAATATAGTATAGTATGTATGTAGTATAAAAACGTGTTTTTGTAGATGTGTAAAAAGCCAGGGATGCAATAAGAAACATTAATTACAGGTACTTTTTTAAGTATACAAATTATTGAAAAAAAAGTACGAAGGACTAGTTTATTGTGCATTAATATGGACTAGTTAGGTAAAAAGTCTATTGACTAATCTAATAAAGAGTTGATTGACTAGTCTAATGAATAGTCTAATGACAAATATATTGACTAGTATATTGACTAGTCGATAAACTAGTCTATTGGCAAATCTATTGAAGAGTCTATTGATTAGTCGATAAACTGGTCTAATGACTAGACGATGAACTAATCTATTAACTATTGACTAGTCTAATGAATAGTCTATTGACTAGTCTAATCACTATTTTATTGACTAGTGTAATGACTATTCTATTAACTAGTCTAATGACAACTCTCTTGACTAGTATATTGCCTAGATGATAATCTAGACTATTGACTAGTCGATAAACTAGGCTATTGACTAGTCGATAAACTTGACTATTGACTAGTCAATAAACTAGTCTATTGACTAATCTATTGACAAGTCTATGGACTAGACGAAAAACTAGTCTATTGATTAGTCGATAAACTACTCTATTGACTAGTCTAAAGACTAGTCTAATGACTAGTCTAATGACTTGTCTATTGACAAGTCTATTGACTAGACGATAAACTAGTCTATTGATTAGTCGATAAACTACTCTATTGGCTAGTTTAATGATTTGTCTAATGCTTAGTCTATTGACTAGTCTAACGACTTGTCTATTGACTAATATAATGATCAGTCCAACAATCAGTCACTAACTAGTCTAATCACCAGTCTTTTGAATTGTCGATAAACTAGTTTTAGGACTAGTATATTGTAGTCTAACAATTAGTC